ATCCAGTTTTTTTTATATCGACTATGCATTCCGCTAGTTTTTCAAATTGGTATGTTTCGCCGGGCTGTGAAGAAATATAGAGCTGAGTATCATCAGCATAACAGTGAAAGCTAACACCGTGTTTCCTGATAATATCTCCTAAGGGTAACATGTAAAGCGTGAAGAGTAATGGCCCTAGTACTGAGCCTTGAGGTACTCCATACTGCACTTGTGATCGATATGATACCTCTTCATTCACTGCTACGAATTGATGGCGGTCAGATAAGTACGATTTGAACCATGCTAATGCACTTCCATTAATGCCAACAAAGTTTTCTAGTCTATGCAAAAGAATGTTGTGGTCAATAGTGTCAAACGCAGCGCTAAGATCCAATAGCACTAATAGAGAGATACAACCACAATCAGATGATAAGAGCAGGTCATTTGTAACTCTAATGAGAGCAGTCTCGGTACTATGATACGGTCTAAATCCTGACTGGAAATCCTCACAGATACCATTTTTTCTCTAAGAAGGAATATAATTGTGAGGATACTACCTTTTCTAGTATTTTGGACAGAAAAGGGAGATTCGAGATCGGTCTGTAATTAACTAGTTCTTTGGGGTCAAGTTGTGGTTTTTTGATGAGAGGCTTAATAACAGCCAGTTTGAAGGTTTTTGGGACATATCCTAATGACAATGATGAATTAATAATAGTCAGAAGAGGATCTATGACTTCTGGAAGCACCTCTTTTAGGAGCTTAGATGGAATAGGGTCTAACATACATGTTGTTGGTTTAGATGATTTAACAAGTTTATACAATTCTTCCTCTCCTATAGTAGAGAATGAGTGGAATTGTTCCTCAGGCGATCTATAGCAAGCTATCTGATGTGATACTATAGCTGACGTCTGCATGGTTACAATTTTATCTCTAATAGTATCGATCTTAGAAGTAAAGTAGTTCATAAAGTCATTACTGCTGTGCTGTTGGGAAATGTCAACACCTGTTGATGCTTTATTTTTCGTTAGTTTAGCCACTGTATTGAATAAATACTTGGGGTTATGTTTGTTTTCTTCTAAAAGAGAAGAAAAGTAATCAGATCTAGCAGTTTTTAATGCTTTTCTGTAGGATAGGTTACTTTCCCGCCAAGCAATACGAAATACCTCTAGTTTTGTTTTCCTCCAGCTGCGCTCCATTTTCCGGGCTGCTCTCTTTAGGGTGCGAGTGTGCTCATTATACCACGGTGTCAGACTGTTTTCCTTAATCTTCCTTAAGCGTAAAGGAGCAACTGTATTTAAAATGCTAGAAAAGAGAGAGTCCATAGTTTCTGTTACATCATCAAGTTGTTCTGAGGTTTTGGAAATGCTAGGGAATTGGGATAAATCAGGAAGATTACTTACAAAGCAGTCTTTTGTGGTAGAAGTGATGGTTCTACC